GCCGCTATCACTTTTTCCAAGTTTTGATTCAAACACCCAGGACCGATGCTGACATCACCACCATCAATTACCAAATGCCATTCATATCGGGCGAACACGTCAGCTGCCATACGTTTACTGCGCCACTTATCTTGCAATGCATCAAAATGGATCAGGCAAAGGCTGCTATAGGGCAAAGAATTGAACTGCTTCGCTTCCAAGAACTCGGTCGTGGATGATCCATTTCGATTTCGCACGAAGCCTGTTTCGTGTGCATCTGTGCAGGATTTCAGCCGGGTCACGCTGTCGAAGTCCCAAAAATGCTCACGGTACCATACTTCGGTGTTGTGCTGATGCCTCCTTGCATAACATTGCCACAACCCTACTGGCAATCGACAAAAGCCACGAGTGGCATGAGTGCAGCTAATAAGGATGCCGAACTGCTTGACTGCTGGTCGCTGGGAAACTGAGCTTTTTGGCGGCAATATGTCAACAAAAAGCTCATTTTCTCCAAAAGGTTCGGCTTCCAAGAGGTTTCCTGGGAACTTCAGCAGACTTTGTGCCCAGAATTGAATTCGATCAGATTCAGAATAGTGGCGAGCACACATGTTGCTCCAATATAAATACCTTTTGTGGGTCCGGGGAGGCAAGGCTTTCCGCTCATGCAGCATGGATACGGGCGCGCCTGCTTGTATATACAATACAACCTGCTCGTGCAACGCTATTTCTGCCAACACACTTTGGCATGAAAAAAGGTCTCGCCCAATCCGGTTCTTCTCCGTCAAAGCTGGGGGCCACTTCCATTCATAGTACTCATCTGATAAGGGCATTGGATGCAGCAAAATGTAGTTATGATCGGCCTGTGAGGGCAAAGAACCACCATAAGGATGGAAGAAACCATGCGTACAATAAAATATACTGTATTATATACTGTATATAATATAGCATAAAAGTGTATTATATCAGATTATATAAGTTCGATATACAAATCATACATCATAATCCATCAAATCTAGCAAACCCTGGAGAGTTCCCATGAGTTCCCAGAGTTTAGGAAGGCGATGCGGGCCAACCCGAGTTCATCCTAGTTTTGCTGTTTTGCTTTCCTGTATTGTAAAGGAATTCACGATGACAACTGGTAGCCGCGAAGGAGGATTGACGCATTACAGTAGAAGCTTTGCCGTGGCATGATGAACCACAAACTGTGGAAAGATGAACCAAACCATTGCAAACCATTTCAATTACTGTAGACAATATCCTGGATCCTATCATTTCTCGTCTATCATTGATCTGATTATTTGATCATATCAAACACCCATGGGTCACCCAGGCTGCCTGTATGACGTCGAAGCCGCAGCAGTCCATAGGATTGGTGAGGCTTTTGTTCTGCCAACTTCGCCATCTTTTATATTCCGAAGAGCTGGGACGCTCAAGGCTAAAGTGTTGACCTAGATCTGGCCTCGCACTCAGGATTCGATGAGCTTCTATGTATGCCAGGCCAAGCCTTTTCAGAAACTCTAGATTGTCATAGGGAGCATGCTGCTGTTGACATTCATCGTTTGGACAGGACTTGCTTACCTCTCTCAAGATCCTTGTGGCTTCTGCATGTGCACCCGCTGTTCCATCACCCAGCGAACTGTTCGGATTGCGGCCGTCGCTGCCAACCTTGCCAACCTGCTGTAAACTGTGCAGCTCCAGAAGGTATTTTGCCTGGGCCCCATGTAGCATTGGTCTTCCCCAGCAGTCACGATTTGGAAGCTGATGACGCCAATGGGCACTGCAGCAACGCACATAACTTGCAGGACTATCGCGTGGATAGCAGTGCTCGAATGGAAAAATGAAGGGATTGCTGTGGAGGTCGGTCAGAAACCTGTGCTGCAAAAAACAAAGGGGAACAAGCAGGATATATATATATACAGTAATATTACCTTAAAGAAAACTCAGAAGAACAGTAGCCAGTGGCCTTCCGGAGTGCATTAGACCGTTACACTACAGCAGTAGACCTTGGCTGAGAAACGGTAGGGTGAAGTAAGAATTGACACGCAGCACAGACATTATTCACTTTGGTTTGCAGGTGCACCTCAAGGCGGCCCATGATGCTTCCCCTGTCACATCTCAGCTTCGTTGGACCAGGTTAGATGCTTTAATTGCATAAAGTCGACTTCACTAACGGTGCAGAAATGAGGAGACTGCGTGAACTTGCAATCCCTCAGAAACAGGTGTTGCCACACACTTTTCATGAATGACATGAACAACTCCTAAGCCTTACATGTGCCTGCATTCTATAGGTCACCTGCTAAGTGCGGTTCAAAAGCAGGATAAAATAAGCTCGAGGTGTCAGTGTACAGCAGGACGAAACCATTCTTGCACTTGCCAAGCAGCCGCAACGGTTCTGGTTGCCAATCAATGTGACCAATGTGTGAGTTCCCACGAACACTCGACCAAGGAATTTTGACTGCCTCGAGCTTCCAGTGAATCAAGGTGCACAGCACCAAAGCCCCAATGGTCATGGGCCTTCTGGCAGACCTTCCGACGGTCTAGTCTAGTCTCTTTTGGTTCTGATTTGAAGCTTCCTGGAAGTATCGCCCGGGTCACCGGTTGTCAGCCAGCATAGTGGCTGACTGGGCACATAGTGCTGACTATTGTCAGTTCCCTAAGGACCTCTTGAACAAAACTCATGAGACATCCAAGCAATCACACAGACATGCACAAATAGGCACACTGCAAAGTTTGGATCCGGTGTTTATTTGTTTTGTCAGGAGCGCTCACATCTCCAGACTGATGACCTCTGGAAACACATCTGGAAACGCTGGTTCTGATAGACACCAACAAATCTTCATGGGCTATTCATCCAGCAAAGCTGGATGGCTGGCAAATTTAGTTTGAGAGCTCTTCTTTCAAGAACTTCAAGGACCGATCGCCGATATATATATATATATAGTGTGTGTATATATATACATACGTTCTCCAAGTGGATCCTGATCACGTTGCATTTGAAGGAAACTCACTAAGTCTGTTCAATCTGTTGGCTTGTATTTTCTTGGTTGTGAAGCGAGTTGGATGTTATAGCTAAGCTATCTTATGTTGTGTTTGATCTTATCCAAGTGACCAAGGAGGAAGTGGGTCAGTCACGAGGGTGACAGGGAGGAGAATGGAGGAGATGCAAATGGACTTGGGCTGCAATGAGATGGGTGCTCCTGAGGTGTGAAAGAATCGAGTAGCAGACTTTTGCGCTGCATTTATTGGTCGGGACGTCACCATGATTGGTAGTATATACTTCCTGAGAAGCATCTAAATTCGGATCATTGCCCGTTCATAATTGTTGGTCGTATTGTGCCAAAGCTACACAATTCTACAAACACATGAATTTGTGTTGCTTTGGTTGTTTATCCCTTCTCTGTGCTTCAATGCTCCGGCTTTGCCCTATTGCTCCCTCAGTATGAATAACTATATTATCTGTTCCTCCAAAGCGTTGTCTACGTGCACAGTTTTCGTCTTGTTCATTGACTGATGATCATCTGCCGCATATCTGTGCAAGCGTCGCTTCCTCATGTGCTCTTCATTCATTGAATGTCTTGCATCATCGTTGTGGCATTCTCTCTCAATCCAGTAATGATTGGGCTCTACCACTATAAATCCAGTTCTACTTTGTTTTGTACTATTCCGCGTGTTATGGTGGGTCCCGGAACAATTGTTGACTATATCCTGACATTGTTATCCAATGTCTTTCAGTTTTGAAGCCAAACTGCTCCTCCCTTCCCTCCAAGAGAATCCGCAAGGTTCTACCATCCTGCTTCAAGTCCTCCGCGACAAAGGCCAGGTGGAGTGAAAGGATAACATATGACAACATGCTTTGCGGCTTCTTGCGCCAGTCTCTGAACTCAACTCTCTAGACTCCAGACCGAGCCTGTCCTGAATGGCCACAAGGAGTAAGCATTGCTTTACCGCAAGGTCAGTTCGAGATGCAAAGAATGCCAGGAAATTGTGCGTCAGCAAGCACCATTCCTGGTACTGGGCGTGTTCTACAAGGAACAGCAAAACAAATGGCAGGTCAGGGCATCAGGATGAAAGTCTGATGTAGGACCCTGAACACTGAAAGGTATCATATGTAGCGGTGTTATTGTGCACTGCGCTGGCCATCAACTTTATCCGGGCACCCTTGGTCTCGCTGAAATCACTGAAGACCTCTGTATCATGTGCAGCGACATCCAGCACTGCACTGGTTGTGTTACAAGTTAGACCACTGGGAACCTGCAAATGCAGTCGCACTCACTTGGGTTTCCGAGCTTCCTTAGTCCAGGTGGAGAGAAAGCCTCCAGAGCTCTTGAGAGCCAGCCGCCGCAGCAGTTCTCCAGAGTAGTCCTAAGAAGCCCAGGTTTTCTTTATCTTGAGAATAAACCCCATAAGGGCCCATAGAGTTGTGGAAATTGTGCGAAAGCGGTGTGCACTAAGTGGGCTGTTTCAAACGAGTCAAAGGCAGCTTGAATAGAGTGCTTTGATGAGCAGGTGACCAACACTCGATGAGCAGAGCCGTGGCCCCTCCTTGCACTCGGCTGCCAGGGTTTCCAAATCTCGCTGTGGATCAGCGTGCTCAAGCGCTGTGCTCTCCATGGCAGTGAACAAGTTGGGAGTCCTTTCTATTTCTGCTTAATGTGTATGTGTTTCTTTTAAGACTTAATAGAGTTATAAGTTATAACAATAAACATATATATATATACTGTGTACACACTGTAGTAGCAATAGTAGTATAATATAGTAAAATTGTTCCTTCTCAATTGAGGTTAGCATGGCGTGGTCAGATGCACGCGATTTACCGTGGCTGTGCCCAGCCCCCTTTTACTAAATCGCTCGCTACTCAGCCGCTGAGCCACTCCATGCCACAGTAGTTATGGTCTGGATGGTCTGTCTCTTCCCTGCGCTTCGCGTTGCTTCGTTTCGTTTTTATTGACTTGAATGGAGGCAAATTGGCACCTACCACCATGTTTCGAGCTTCTTTCCGGCTAAGCTATTGAGGCGCTGACGATCTACTAACGTATCCAACACGGCGGCCACCTCGCGGTCGAACCGCTTCAACGCCCTGGCTTCATTGGCAGGCAGGATCTCATGGATTTTTGATAACCAGATAAACATACAAAAAAAAAGAACACCAGTGTCATATTCAATCATGTTTAAACCGCTCCTGGAAAACTGTACAGTCTTTAGATATGTATATATATATATATATTTAGAGGTGCTGGAACAAAAACACATGGCACTGGTTGCATCAGCAAAGCAGGCCCAACTCAAGATTGCAATGATTGATGATGCGATATGATGCTACATGCTTGCTATTGCAGCTCGCGCCTCTCCCCAATGACACGTGCCATACATTCTAGTCAATAGTTGATGTGTGTTTGGTGATGGCTGCTAGCACGTTTCAATCTTGAGTGCTTTCTCGCATGCAAGTAAGCCAATATGTATACTGTGTATATATATATATGTCTTTTATAAAGATAAGCGAGGCTCTGCATCTGGAGCCAAACACTGCGGCACGAATGTTATTCGTGAAAGGGTCCCTGCACGGGATTTCGAGGTTCAAGTAAAAAGCGGTCCCTACCAAGCATCCTTTTGATCTTTAACTAAGCGAACTCCGCGTGGTCAGCCTCAAGCAGGGCTTGACCTTGAGAATACAGGCACAAATGGAGTCTTTCAGTTGCATCTTCCTCTCTTTCCGTCTGGAGTAGAATAGCAGAATCAAGCAAAAGCAGTAAGTAACAAATCCCTTTTTCTCACGGGATCACGACATCCAAGCTCCCGGCCATCCAAGCAGCGGGCCTGCCGTGCTCGCTTTTGGCTGTGTTCCACACCTAGAGCTTGAAGCTGCAAAGCGTTGGCCACAGCAAGCACTGCGCCTTCCCCACCTGCCAAATCAGTCGATAGACTCTCGGTCGACTTTTTGCGAAATGATTCCCGTTGCTACCAAGAATAGAGGTTGGCACGCCTCATTTTATGTAAAAAACTAACAAATCTAAAATGACTTTCACAAACCAAAGGTCTTTCAAGTCATTTTGTTTTAAACATTTCAAAAAAGTCAATTCTCGTCAATGTAATCTAAAATGGGTCTGGAAGTCAAGATTTCCAAACGCAACCGTTGACAGACATGTAGTCATGAAACAGTCATGAAACACTAGGAAAAATATTGAAAAATGACAAACACATCGAACGAGCGCATATCAAGGCAGGAAGCTCCCTTTTTCAGTTTTTTGGTGTTGGTTTCATCCAGGATCGAACAACAAACAATCATGAATCATTAATCGCATCAATAACAAAACAGAAAACATGAAAAAGAAACATGATGTCGCGCCGCTGTTGTAACTATTTGGTTCTTTTCAAAAAGGTCTGCCATTTGGGATTTCAGATCTTGAATGAAGATGGAGGCGTGTCCTTTTTTGGGGAGGGAAGGGGCAGGACATGTTCTAAAATTCTTTCTGATCAGCAGTTTGATTTTGGCACTATCATCGTGTCAGTGGATTACGCCAAAGCCCAAGTTCTTGCTATTTTCAAAAAAATAACATATGTTTGAATGACTTTTTCATCTCATGAAATTGATTCAGGAAGCTTGCTGCCTCTATCAGGAGAAGCTGTTCGTTGACTGTCTTGTCACAATTTCATTCTTTTCAAGCAGCCGACCTTAGACGCCACCGACCAATTGTTGAAATTTTTGTGGTGTCTGCATGCGCATTTGCTTGACATTTTTGTGGTTAGATTCTTTGTGCTGGGTTTCGGCATTAGATTGTGCTTTCAGAATTCATTCATAAGACCCAGTTTAAAGGAAATAGAACTCGGCATGATCTTTGCCTGGGATCTATCCTGAGTGATCAACCCCACCCTGTTCGCCAAAATTGCAGCAATAATATTTGCAGGCGATCACCATAGCAAATATAAAGATCAAATGAATAGAAGCCTTGAGTATAGCCTATCCCAAACCTACCTTCCCAACGATAACAGCATATACTGTGACTAACTTAAAACGTTGTATGTGCACTTCTCAACGTACCAACCACCTAGTTCTTGGAGTGAACTGAAAAACTCGACACAGTCAACAAGAACTTGCTCCCATAAGAACACTTTCAGTCTCACGAGCCACAGAACGGATCCACAACTATGCGGCAGCCGCACGACTTCCTGAGAAAACAGTGAAAGGAAGCACGTGCACGGCGCACACACACAGATGCATACACCATCTACGCGAATCATCCAAGATGAAGCAACCAACAAACATCAACACACTGACAAGACAGCTAGGTCTCAAATAATTGCAAGCCAGCTCTACGGAATTCACGCCAGCGCCGCTAGTCCAAGTAGAAAGACCTTTGCCTGCCAAACACACTCATCTTTTTGGCAAACCGCAACATGTCCAGCACGTTAAACCGTTAAGACATGACATGACCTCAAAGCTTTTGCTATCATCCCTTTCCACTAGGCTAGCCTAGAACATGGATGCCGTTTCTGGAACAAGCATTCTTCGCTACGTAGCCAGCACTGCAAAGCAAAAGGTCCGGGGCCGGCACGAATCACATCTGGAAACCCACGATCCAAGGATTCATCAGCCTCCTTGGAGCAGCAGGGGGGATAAACTCAATGAACCCACTTCGATCAAATCAGAAGTCCACACAGGAAGGATCCAATGATGGAAAGTCGCCTCATGTAGACTTCAAAGTGAGTGCCAGCACTGACTTGTATCCATCACCCGCACTGGCTAGGACAATGCAAATCAAGTGTCGTCATTGGTGAAGCAAAGGTAGTGGGTATATCCAGCCTGAAGCAACAGCAACGTAGGCTGCTATGATAAATAATTCATCCCGAAGTGACCCAATCTTGTCCGAATTAAGACAATAGCCTGAATTTGCGCACATCAATTTGGCTCTATGCAAGAGCAAACCAACCTTTCGACATCTTGAACACCTCAACCGGACAACCTCCGCAACCGCAACGCGTACCCATTCTATCTGGAACGGAGGAACGCTGAAGCCGCTTCGACCACCGCCGACGATTTTTCCAGAGAAAATGATGCGGTGCCACAGCAAGCGCACCCCAGGCCTCATCTACTTGAAAGAAAAGCACGCAAAATGACACCGACCGACAGGCGGGAAATGAAGTGCCCCCTTTCAGTATGTAGGTATATAGGGCCCGAACATGTCTGAGGCAGCAAGAATGGCAAGATGGGCCTTGTTCAACCATTGCCAATAAGTGCCGCCCTTGGCATTCCGCCCATGGTTGCCGTCTTTGGTCACCTGGCAGGAGCGACGAGGCATTGGCACACGTGTATACTTACGTCTAGGGAAACTGAATGAGATACCTCATGATACCTCCACTTGCCAAAGTCTTGCTTCTTGTCAAGTAGAAGCACAGCGCTGCTGGACAAAACTTTGCAGCAAAACAATCACTATGACAAGCCTTCACGTCTGTCTGCATGAAAATGGCTCGGCTTTGGGCAGGCAATTTCTCCAGAATAAGCTTCACAGTCATCTGGAACCACTCGACATAACCTGGTCGGGGTGGTTTTGGATTGAAATTCGAAGAACATGGTGCACGACTCAGCTTCAGAGACCTTTCACTGTCCGCTTGGCAAGTTCTCCATACTAGTGAGATTCTCATCGATGTCAACAAGAATTTGACACAGATAGCAGAATCTCTGTAGTTGTATGGAAACACTGTGGTGAGCGCATGTGCGATGTGCTGCCTGCTAGTGCTCATGCTGAGGCGAAAACCAGCCAAGGTAATGTTATCCAACTCATGAATGTCTGGCACGCCTCCACGTGATAAAGCATTCCTCTTCTCAAATCTCAAAAAGTTGTTCTGAAGATCTTTAAAATTCCAAAAAGCGTATGACAAAACCTAAGGGTGAGGCATAGTCTTGCCCGAACTGCAAAACTACCAAGTATGTCAAGCGGTCTAGCGCCTGTCAAAACGCAGCTGCCTGTTGGTAGTGCAGAAATGCTTTGTAGCCAAGCTATTGCATCCTGGGTTGAACTACAAATATCTCAGATCTTGGTTTCTAAAGGAACAAGCAAAAGTAGGCATGTGCATGGCTTGACGACTTCCCAAGATTGTCAGGCTAGTCCACGCTCCTCACAAAGAACTGTCCGTTGTGCATCCGCCGAGCTGCCTTGTAAGGCCAGGCTTTCATGCGATGCATTGACTGTGCTTTCATCAATGAACACGCAGTGTAAGCGGGGCATGACAGAGTCTAAAGGAGCTCCTTAGTGAAGTATTGGAATTGTTGGAATCCATCATTTTAGCTTGGTGTGCCCATGGCCTTAGCACATACTTTGCATGAACTTGCTCAGCGCCTCTGATTTGTTCTCCTCCAGAACCACGAGGAACATATTGGCGCCTTCTGCGAGCCTGTCCAAGGCTGTGTGCTGTGAGAATCTCTGAAAATAATCTGGTTGCTGGCAGTACCATTGTAGATTCCTTTGCTAGTAATTACAAGTGCCACGCTAGTAGTAACAAGTGCCTTACTAGTAGTAACAAGAAGCTATTAGAATTAGACTTAAAACATGTAAAATTCAGTCGGAACTCTGATTGGACGTGATGGAAGCCATGGAAGCAAAACAAGACAATGACACTCGCGACCTGTGCACTGGATGGTGATCTGCTCGAAGGACGCCATTTCCAAACATGTGACACACCTTGGATAACACGCTGTCAGCGCCTCGAGCTTGATCTCAAGACTTGCGACCACTGGCCATCAAGGCCACTAGAGGTTCTGTCAACAAGCCTGTTCCTGGAAGATTCTTGAGGGTGACCGTGTAGGGCGAGTAGGGTGGATTCATGGCAAGTGGGCACTAAACAGATAGACTGATGGATGAGATGAGAGAAGAGTTGTGAAGACTGTGAACACAGAAACTCTGAGCCACCTTCAGACCCACTGTCAATCATTGGAGGGGTGGCGGCCAATGAACAAATGGACTTCATGAAGCCACCTGCCGCCTGCCACTATTCCCTAGGGAAAAGCTACCCAAGACGAACGGACATAGGAAGCAAGCAGGACCTTGAAGTTGAACTTGATTCATCGAGCTTCCTTCTAAAAGGGTTGTCCGGGTTGCCCCTTGTCTTTCTGCAATCTTCTAAAGAGACTGGCCCAATTGTTTGTCTGGCTGTCCGAAGGTTCATCCACACATGATGGTGATGGATGATGTGCTCAAACCAGGAAGACTGAATAAGGAATAGGATGCTAGCAAACATGAACTATGTAAGTATGTTGAACTATCATGTCATAAACATTTGAGCCAGTGATTTAGGAATCTAGTGCCGATGACCACCTGTCATACCTTGCACTGAGCTTCCTGCCAAGTCCCAGAAGGACTCCACTTATGAACATTAAGAGCCACAAAACCATTGCAACGAGGCGCACACATGGTAACGTCAAACCCAAATAACTTGAATGGGACTCTTGGAGCAGGTGGTTGCCTAATCCACAAAGGCTCTGACACATTTTGTTCGTCTGCAATCAGCTTCAGCATGCCACGCAAGGTTGTGAATCTGCAGTGTTAGCACAACACATGCATGACAATGTTATTGGCTTTCCGCACAAAAGTCGTAGGCTCAATTTCAAATCGATGCGCTCCGTGTATCTCTGGACATATTTGTCCAAAAATCTTTCCGCAACACTACATGCAAGGCCTTGAGTCAGCGCTGCAAGCCTGTCTCAACAGCTGTTTCTTGCACCTCATGTTTAAATAGAATACATCCATGAGGAGCTCCGATGCCAAATAGGACAGGGTGCTGCGCTGGTGCAGAGGTTGTACAACGATTTGATGGCTGGATGTATTGGCATTCATGTGAACCCGCAGTTCTTAAAGCCTCGTGCAGTTCTTCTTGTCGTCCTATTGCTTCGTGCAAGCTGGATGCACTCTACCAACCTGTCAAGGTTTCACAGCGCTGGACATGCGGCATTGACCTGCCAGCGACCAAGGTCTCTGTACTGGGTTCTATATCTGTTTCGTGATCAAAGAGTTTGTTTGTTCATTCGGTAAAGAAAACAAACAATCTGAGTAGCTGCTACTAAAGTTATTTGTTGGCTAAGTTGGCTCATGGTTGCAAAACACAACGCAACAAAGCAGGTGGACACTTGGCTTCTTCTTGCCTTGTCTTTACCTTGCTCTCCCTCCCACCTCTGTCCTCTCTACCCTGTGACATCTTTTTCTCAAGCCTTCCCCAGCCTTCCTTTCCACATTCCTGCGGTTCCCTTCTGTTCCTTTTCCTGTTCCTGTCCTTCACTCCTCCGTCTGTCCAGCTGCACATTCTTGGCCCTCCCTCTTCTGTTGGTGTCCCTTTCCAAGCAGCCCACCATCTGTCATGCTTGTCCTTTCAAATGCCATGGCAAACTGTCCACATTATGCGTACTTCTTGAAAACTCCATCGTGTTGCAACAGCATGTCCAGCCAGGAAGGCCTGACTGGAAGCATGTCACCTGGCCATGCAACACTAGATTCCCATGGCAAAAAGCAGTACAGTCAGAACGGAGAGTTGTATTGGAATTCCATGGCACGGTGATCTAGGCATCTGTCCACCGTGACTCAAGCAGTGCCAGGGTACAGTAAGAAATGGTGGTCTTGAACTTCCCAGCTTTGTCGTTATCGGTGCATTAGTAAAGTAGCTAGCTGCTGTGTGGCTCAGTTCATTTCGCAATCATGTCTTCACGCGTATCACGTGTTGAATGATCTCAGCTTGGGCGGAGTCAGCTGCTTCTGGCCGCAGGGCCCTGATTTGCTTGGCACATGATCTTGTGATCTTGACTGTCTCAAATGGATTCGGCACCTGACTCCACTGTACAGCTGCCTAGCGCAAGTTCAAGTGGAAGCACTCAGGAGATCTGTTGCAAATCATCGGAGAACGCAGTGGTGCAGCTCATTTTGTGGATACCCAAACCCATACTTTTCTGAGTATTCGGGCAACTGGTTCAAAGCATATCCCCACTGACTGCCCAAATAAAGTACGCAAATGTACGCAATGCTTTCTTTGGGCGCTGTGCAGCCATGTATGCTCCGACAATCCCTTTGTCAATTGTCAATCAATCCACCCAAAGTTATCTGTGAGCAAACAACTAGCAAAAAGGAATCATGGTTTGTCGCTCCTTTGCGCTCCCCTACTCATGATTTCCGAAGCTGCACATCTCACAAACAGGTGAGTTGCCATCACATTCAAGGATGCTGTCCTTCAGTGCGTTCTCAAGCTAGATCTAGCGGTGCTGGCGGCATCTCAAAATTAATCTGTACATCGAAGGCTAAATGCCAGCTCTGGCACTTCTCAACGGTTCGGGTGACATCCTGGCTTCCGCAGTATTGAAGAATGAACTCCCCCCGTTTCTTTCCAATCCACTGCAATGAACTCAACAGGATGCCAAGTTTGCTAACAAACCAAGAGGAACCCATTGCCACGCCACCAGGTGCCCCAGTGCCTTCCTTCAACACATTGCCTGCCCTGTATGGCAGCTGTCTTTTGCAGATGATCGAATTGGGACCTCTTCTCTGGTCTTGTAAGGCACCTTGCACAATTCCCAGTCATGGGCAGTCTTCTGGCCTACTGTACCTACCCGGCCCCTGCAAAAGCCAGTTCACAGTTGAGATTGATCTACAAACTGAAGCCAGCACCACTCTCTTCAAGAAGCCGTGTACTCCTCGCAAAGCTTAAGACACCTAAGTTGCACATCTGGGCAAACTATCATCAAGCTATGGTGTCTACAAAAAACTACAGTAAGCAGTTGGATTTGCTTCCCCCCTCAGGTGGAAAGAGTGTCTCTTCCCGCAAAATGGAAAACGTGGCATGCATCATTATCCGTTCCTAAAGTGTACGGCTTTGGCTGACAGGGGCAGGTCGTGCAGCGAACCATACAGCCTTTTTGCCCTCAAAAGTATCTTAAATGGAATGTAATTACATAACAAGTCCTGTCGATGGCCACATTCCTGTTTGCTTCAATTATACATTACTGTACATATCTGTACATCGTAGTCATAGATACAATTGCAAATCTTATCAAATAGTTATAGATAGCTGCCCCTCCAGGCGGGTCACTCTGTGCAGGAAGGCTTGGCTCAGGAGCGAGAGGTGCATGTTAACCTGAACAGGCCAGAAGGGAACCTACAGCCACTCAGCTCTACAGTCTGGAACCAAGCTCTCTCCACTCTCCACTTATTTGCCTCCTTGATGGGAGCTCGACCTGCAACAAGGCAACTGAAAAGCGTCTGAAGAATCTTTCAACGGATACAGTGCCGAAGCAACCAGCAAAAAGGGTCACGGAGATACACACTGACATGTTACTAGACTATTCGCCTTGGCGCAGCGCAAGCCAAAGTAGGAGCAGCGCTACAGCAATGGCCCTTGCACAACACTGGCATGTGTGAATGACTCACGACACTGCGTACCTTTCCAGAACTAGTTTCAACAATACCGGGAATCCTTTGCAAGCTCCTCAGATTCACTTTCCTTCATTGCGTGGCTGCAAGATTCGTTACATGTGATTCATGTGATGAAACTTGTCCTCACACAGCAAATTTGCAGTTATTAGAAACAATAAGCTATTAGGAACAAGTGCCTCGCTTCTAGTAACAAGTGCCTTACTAGTAGTAACAAGAAGCTATTAGTTAATTTATTTTGATTTTACTTTAAGTATAATAGCTTTTTGTTACTAGTAGTAAGGCACTTGTTACTACTAGCGAGGCACTTGTTACTAATAGCTAAAATTTGTTGTGATGCCATGATTCCAGGATTTCTGCTACTCGGCCCCCGCGCAGTGTGCACATGACCCACCAGGAAGGTTCACAATAGCTGGAAGGTTCCTTTGGTGAAGGCCTGGATCCTTCCAAAAGAGACACGATTCACACCTGTCCATCAATTGTCCACATAGTTCAGCTTATATACTTTCTAAACATCTTGACTTTGTGCCTGTTCCATAGCCATCAGTCCTCGAGCTACCAAGCAAAATCAAGCGCGCGGAGTCGCGGAGCGGTCTTTACAAGTTCTCTTGAGCTCATGGATGTCACTGTATTTGTTTGGCTGAGAAGCCGGCTGTGCCGGCGAGTCGCCGAACCCAGCTAAAGACCTGTCAAACTCAGTCTGCTAGCTGGGGTCGTTTTGTGCAGCCACAAAATCAAACAAAGTGACTCATATGACCCTAGAGTCTCTAAAGCAATGAAGGGTGAAAATGGGTGAAGTCTGTTGAACAATGAAATATGGAGAGGCCTGGGGCAGCGCTCTTCTGCGGTTCGCTGTAGGGGATCTCTAAGCCTCAGAATTTTTGAGGAAATTTTCAGCTTAGGCTGAAGGCCTTCAGATTTCAATTGTGAGGCGGCCAAGGTCCCGGCAGCGGCACGGATTCATTCATTTCACTGCAGTTTCACGAGATCCGATCTTTGAAGTGCACTTCAAAAAATTGAACGAAAAACCCCTCCATCGTATCATTGGTACATTGGCAATATCAAAGCTGCTTTTGTGTCACGTCGATTTGCATTTGCCCCCAATGTTGCTACTGAAGCCCAGTCCGGGAGCTTTGAGCCGCACATGCATGTCGTTGAGAGAAAATTCCAAAGTTTGCTGGTTTGCCGTCTGCAAACAAGCCGAAACCCACCCCATGTCGAATCGCCTGAAGGGCCTCAGTGCACATTGAGAATAGACTAGAAGCCCGTCAGAGTCACCCACAATAAGATACAATAAGACAATACTTGGTTTGTCCGGCGCCGGACCCTCTGATTTTTTTCTTTTTTCCAAACGGACTGTGATAAATGATAATGATAGCAGAATGCCAATGTGCGAATGAAATTGGTTTGGGGTAAATTTAAATCGCTTCCAGGATCTTACAGGCAACTGTAAATGGAGATCATCCCTTCTGTTGGACTGACTTTCCCTGCATCAGGGAACACACTCTCGAACACAACGAGGAGCAGGCAGGTTGGAAAGGTTGGGTCCTCAAACACAGATCACGACACCCAACGTGTAACTATGGACTGTGCCTCAGAAAAATTGCACACAATCCGGGTTTGATCATGGTTCAACTCGTCTTGCCGGCTCCGAACCAGCAAAGTGATGCAAGTGACATGCACACGCAAGATTAACATTGCTTAGGTTAAGGCCCACCATTGGCCAGCCAAGGCTTGAACTGAGCGGGCAATGTGGACCTATGAGTCATAAACGTAATCTTCAACAACCATCAACAACCGCAATAAACAAAAAGAAGTGGTATTGCTGATCGCTTGCCAGGTTGATTCAACACCAAACAAGTTCCAAACCAGCCTTGTGACTGGCATGTAGAAAGAAGGGGAGGCTGGTAACCTGGGAACATGGGCAAGTAGCAAATGCAGGGAGTACCCGGGAGAGGCTTTTGTCAAACTGCAAACAATTTGCACCAGGCTCGGTTGAGATTTCTAAGCCAAACACTTTCTCTGCTCATGCCCGTTTGGCAGCACGATTGCAGGGTGAAGATTTGTCGGGGCCTGTTTAATTTAAAGTTCAATGCTTGTCCAGCATAGGACTTTACCTCAAAGCCTCTGCTGCTGATAGTGTCTGGATATTATTTCACAGTTATATACACAGCATCGATTCTGTCGAATATAGTGCACACATATGACTATTTCTGCTAAACAAAAAAACATATTAATACAAACAAATCATCTGTCTTGAAACTGCCATCCTTGTCATCTCTAGTCTGGTCACTAAAGCAGTAGAATTGGGAATTAGAAGCCCATGCACCTTTGTGGGCTGTGGCCTTGGCATTCAAGAAATCAACTGAAGTGCACATTCCAAAGCTCTTGGAGTTCCCGTGTCATCTGTGATCCAAAGATGTGAAAAGACCCTACAAGCGCTACAAGTAGGTTTTCTGTGGGTGTTGCAGCATGCATGTTTTTTGGTAAATCTCAATGTTCTGCATTGCTACGGCTCGCAGCACCTAACACCAGTGCAAGGCCAATATCTCCAGGGCTACTGCATGGGCCAAGGTTGCTGCATGTGAGGAGACACCTTCGAAAGGAAGCATGTTGAATCAACAGCAGGTCTTGCAAGCTGTAGCGCTGTAGCAGTCAGTCATTGTAGATTCCAATGTCGTCCCGGGACACTCGGGTCGCCTCGTGTACTTGCACAATACAACTGGGAGCTAGTGGATGACATGATCGAAAAGGAGCTGAAGGAAATGCTTGAGATCTGTCATATCTGGCGGTTGGCTGTTCCTCATTATTCCAGAAAAGAATGGGTACACTGGTACACGAAGGACCTCATAGTTGAACTGATCAATTGGATATAAGAACCACCGGCCTGGCCCGGCTGTGGAGCCTGCAGGTTGGTTAAACTGAACTTTTCCCACCTGCTCAAAGGCACTTTCTCAACACTTATAACTTATATCTCCTTACCAATATTCTGAAGCACTCACATCTGCTGGCCGCCCATCATCAATTCTTATGCTTCGGACACCAGCGCTTGAGGGGCATCCAGGCCCCGACTCTCTGCCTTCTCTCGCAAACAACGTGCCAAAAGCACCAATTGGCGGCGCCATCCAAACCTGGTCAGCTCGCAGGTGTCTTTATAGCATTTTATAGCAATCGATTGGTCTTGCCACAGAAAAGCTCAAAATCAGCAACTCTGCCTCCGAGCATGGAAATCAGCACCAACAGATTCTGCTTCAAGCATTCCAGCCAAGTGTCTTGGACACACCCATGTTCTCCAGGTCTTGCTCTGTAAGGGAGGCCAGCACCAAACCATTGACTGCCTGCACGAACAATGCATTTGTATTTTGTATCAGGTGAAGTGGAAGAGCTTTGTTGGATAACAAGCAAACTAGACTTCGACTAAGACTCCTCACCAAGAAAGCCCTGTTGCCTGGTGCCTCAGGCGCTCAGCAACGTCCAATGGACACAGGGCGACCTGGAGCTAGTTCAGGAGTTCAGGTTTCATGAGCTCGTGGCCCAAGTGTAGCGTACTCTCAGAATGGCAAAGTGCTTTGGGACTGTCTGAATATTTACTGTAACTCTTCAACAAATGAAGACAAACATGGAGACAGGCTCTTCTGTGCAACTCCGGAGCTGGTCGATTGTTTTGGAGAAGGCAAACACAGCTATCAACCGATCAACCAGGATTGATTCAGACTTGTCAGGAGTGAAGCAAAAGGTCGACGTCGTGCAAACGTTTGGGTTTCTTCCCGAATGATTTAGTTCTGTGGGTACGTGGCGCAGTTCGGTTGTCCCGTAGAAGTTTGAGGGACTACAAAAATTCGGTGCGTCCAGCACCTGGAGTGTCCAGCGGTAAACATCCTCCACGCTCCAGCTTCGCAAAGGCTTCCGGCAGCCCACACTCCAAGCACGAGGACTTAGCTCCTCTAGTCTTTCCAGAATGTGGAAAGTGTCATGTCACATATTTACTCAGCTCAAGTGAGGGGTCCGGGTATTGCATGAATGTTTTGGAAAAAGCACATTGTGCCATGATGGTAATTATTTGGTGCAGAGTCATTCCAACCATAACCTCTGAAAACAAGCGCAGGATCAAGACCTGTGCAATGTCTGCCATGCATGGTCCTCCTCCACAGCCTCCGGCAAATCAGAGGTGACACCTGCACCCATGATAATATGCATGAAACATCATGAAAAGGTGTCAGTTTGTGCTGCAGCGCCAGGCCTCTCCGAGAACGATGGTCTGACAATAGGCGGGGCTGCCAACTCCGAGCTTTCCCTGCAAGGAAGAGGTCACACTCTGAGACTCGGCAGCTGTTTGGTCCACAGTGCAGTAGGATCCCCTCTATAACAGGTCTACCATCTGCAGCACTCCGAATACATGAATGATCATGGTTGGAGAAATGAAATAGGTGCACGCAGCTATCCTATTCCCTCACGACTAAGGGTTCTTGCAAGTGTATGGCCCGGCAAGGCTGGACACAATGGAACTTTCGGTCCTAGTACTGTAGCGATGCCCTTTGTTCCTAGTAGCGTTCTTGCTCCTAGTAGTAAGGCCAGGAGCCCCTAGCAGCGTTCTTGCTCTACAAAAAACAACTTTATTTCTTTCATCTTTGCAATGATCTGACACCGACGCACAACTCAAAAAACAACTGACATGTTCCAGGCTTCGCTGCTTCGCTTACGCTTCGGCCGAATGAATAGCTTAGCTTGACTGTCGGCTAATGTCGTCTACCAATCTTTTCATTGTAGAAAGCACGAGGAGATTTGGCAACATTCGTGTGACATGATGACATGAAGTGGGGCAACTGGTTTTCACGTATGAGATGCAAACAACATGGCAAAATGTTGTGGGCAAGTAATTACACTTTCCTGCACAGGGTGCAACTCGTGAGATATGCAAACAATGTCGAGGATGCGTTGCATGGCCCCGTGGTCGTTAGCCGTTAGCACTGTCAGTGGCTTCATTCCGTCTTTGGACTTTTCGTTTTTTCACCGTCTATAGAAACAATAAGCTACTAGGAACCAATGCATCGCTACCAGTAACAAGTGCCTTACTAGTAGTAACAAGAAGCTATTGGAATTAAGTTTAATTAGAATTAAAATGAATTAAATTTAATAGCAAAGGAATTTTTTTGGGCACCCAGGATTCACCAATTCCGTCCTCTGGGCGGTGGGAACGAGTTCGGTCGCCTCCGGACCTTCAGGTCACGGTTGCTTCTTTGACCAGGCTGAAGACTACTGGGCAACCAGTTGAGCCCTGTCCCCAGTGTCAATTTGCACAGAAATACATACTCACGGCTAAGACACCAGGACATCCAGGACAATAATTTACGGAAGGATATCATCACGCCAAAAACATTTTGAAAGAGTGTGATGATATCTTCACCTGCACGACGTCGTCATCTTCAACTCCACTGTCGCGATGTGGCCTACAGTGGATCTGGCACCCGGTCTGTTTTCGCGGTTGAATCGTCAGTTCAGCAGTATTCAATGGTGGAACGAAATCAACATGCCTCTATGTTGTGCTCCCAATTCATCCGCAACTAAGCATCAAAAGGTTAAAAAGGATATATAGATTTTCCGATTTTCCGATGTGCTACCTCTTCTTCCACTCCAGCCTGGCTTCTTGGGGGTCCATGGGTCCAGCGCTAGCCTGAAGTGGCTGAACTCAAAGGGTGAAGAGGCGAGGTAAGACTCTGGATCATTGTCAGCAGCAACCTCCCATCTTCGTCCTTCCATCTTCAGACCCAAACTGCTTCTGGCCTGAGAATGTCCGGCAAGTTGGACACCCTGCGAGACTGTCAATGGGTGAGTCAACTTGTCATTGACAATTGCTATCATGGCACACCATGACGAGCCCATGCAGAACAGCCAGCCTTTCATCTCAAGTTTGCAACGGTGCAACCTTCCATTTTGCTTTACGCCGTTTACACCCTTGTCATTTCTCAAGCGACGCACTTGTCTGAATGGCCTTCGGCGCTGATGAGTACAAACCCTAATCCGTCACCCATCACATCTGCATGCCTGAAAGCCCCGATGTGCCTCTTCTGCAAGTCCATTTTGTAGTTCTGCTGTAGCAGCATGTCTGTCCT